AGTAGAAACTAGTTACTGAGACCATCAATAATTTAGGAACATTATTACTGGGGTATTAAATCAAGTGAGAAGTCTAGGGGAAGATAATATCATAGACCTCTATACTTCTACACTATAACTCTTGACTTATATATATAGTGTAAAGTGATCCTTATAAACGGATAAACCTGTGTGTGTACATGAGGTTTTGATTGATTTACCCATAGAATGTATAGAAGTAGACTTGGTAACCGTGGGGTCACCGATTGGTTTGTTGAATACAATCATTGATTGAACTTTCATGGTTTGAAAACACAAAAGGGATTTATAAATCAAGTGAGAAGTAGTCAAAACATTTTCATAGACTTCTATAGTTCTATACAATAATTCTCCACTTCTATGTCATTTAGGGCCGTTCTGCATTGGCTTTACTTCCTGGACCAATAGGTGGCCGCTTAGTTTATGCTTACTCACTCTCTCTCATGCACACACACACACACACACACACACACACACACACACACACACACACACACACACACACACACACACACACACACACACACACACACACACACACACTGTCAGCCCCCTTCAAACTTGTGGCCTGTGTCCAGATCTGCAGTGTTTGCAAGCCAGTACCTCCTGCTAACTTAGCCCAATTAGAAGCTCCCCTCCCTAGCCAGAGAAAAGTGGAAAGGGCCCCTCTCCCCCACCAGCCTCATATCGGTGGCTATCGTGTTATGACAGCCTCTGACACTAGCACCGTGTAATTACTGCTGTCTGAAGGAGCGAGACAGTATGGGGCAAAGAGGGGAGGAGAGCCGGAGGAGGAAACATTAAATGAAGGAAGACAAGGCAGGGAAAGAACTGAAGATGAGGAGAGTCAGACGGGGACAGAATTAGAAGGGAAAGGGTGGAAGAGAGGGAAAATGAGACAGAGAAAGAGAAGAGAGGAAAAGAAAACTAGCAGAAGGATGGCATACTAACTCCTGTTGTGTTTGTTTTTACATGTGGAGAATGTGTGTGTGCGAGAGAGGGAGATGGTTAGTGTGTGAGGAAGAGTGTGGGTGAGCTGATAGCTGATGACAGTATCTTGTACCAGCAGAGTGGAGTCATGCTGCCATCATTGTTGCCTCTCAGCCAGAGCTGGGAAATGTGTCTGATATAAATGATTCTCCTCAAGGTGATCCTACATATGATAACCAAGGAGGGGATTCATCGGAAGACTCTGTATTAGATGCAGCCTTTCCGCATGAAAGACTCATGTTCACTGATATTACTCAGTGCCAATGGAGCCAGTTCTGTTCATTTGGTGACCACAAAACTGATAGTGTGTAGATGTTCTGGGTTACTTCCTGGAAAAGGAACTTAAGGAGGCCTGTCTCTGGCTTTTAGGATACTGTGCTTCAGAGTTGCCCAGAAAAAAGACAATATAATCAGACTACACAGTACATCTTTTGAGTTGCACCTTTTTTTCTGACATCAGGGGATCATGTGGCTGACATTCCTGTTGGGATTTGGCCGAGAAACACTTCAGACTTAAGATTTAACATCCCGAACATCGTCCACCACTCAGCTAATGGTCTTTCATGACCTGCCAATGGATACAGTTGAGAAAGATCATATTTCACCTTAAGAAAAGTTATTTTTATACTGGATTCACATTGCTTTTTCTGCATCTCACAGTCTTCTGCTGAAGTATTTCTATACGATATATTTATAGTTTATTCAAAGTTAAAAGTGTCAATGGGACCTTATAATAATTTCCGGTTCTATTTCTGATTTTGTTTAACTCTACCAAAAGCCAGTTTGTGCCAACTATCAGTTCTAAAATATTCACCACATTAACACCTACTTGACAACATGATTGTCTCCATTTTAAACATAGAGAAAAACTATGAGTCATCAAACAAACACTAGCTATTCTCACATGAATGCTTTGATTTGAATGCAGTATTTCTGTTTGATTTAGATCATTGAAGGCTTTAATCCTTTCTGTAAAAAAAAAGGTTCACGCTAAAGCTGTAAGCCCTTGGCAGTTTCGTTGCATATAAACACCTGTACAGCATTTCATTAGTTTCTGTTTAACTGACTTGTGAATTTCCGTGGGTAAAATAATTCAAAAGAAAGCGTTAGATTGATGTATAAATGAGAAATCAACAGTACTGCTGTAACAGTTCAGAAGTCTTCCATACAGCAAACAGACTGACGGCTAACCGCTAGCTGTTTTCTTGCTGTTAGCGCTCCACCCCGCTGTAGCATTGCATCAATCACATTAATCGCATTAGCATTTCTGTGACTTCAAAGAAAGAAATAGGTGATCCCTTTTTTATTTCTCCCAGTCTTTTGTCAGTTTCCCTCCCCCTTTCCCCTAGCCCCAATATCCTTTTCCTCATATCACCTGATACTTGGCAATTTCGGCAATTTTTGACCTCTTTCCTGCGATACTCTTTTTCTTTTCTTCATATCATCACCTGTTCACCTTTCTCCTCTCACGTTTAAGAGAATGAACCTCAATTGGGATGAACTAGAGCATGTCAACATGACAAAAGAAAAAGACTCGAAAAATAGAGATAATCAGACGAAAGCATGTTCGCTTCATCTGCAATTACCTGCTGTTGCTACGTTACGACTTAACAAAATCACCGCCTGCCATTAGACATAATCATCCCCACATGCGTTCTAATACTATGGTTGGTTTTTAGAGCACAGAACAAAATAATTGGTAATCAGCCAGAAAGAGAAAAGCAAAACTACTTTTGGTGTACTTTGGCAATGGGTTCCACCATTGAGTTTGTCAAGTCAATGGCTCATAAATATGGGTATTATAGTCATATAGTCATTAAGGCAAAATAAGGTTTTCTTTTCAATGTGCTCATTGCTATGGTTTCTTTAAATACATTGTTTAAACATTAATTGTACTATTACTTTTAAACATTAACCTGGCCAAGTCCCTATATCCCTATACAGGTGAGCCACTGCTGCCCCACAGTAGAACAAAATGAATGTTGGTAGTTTAAGCACTGTTGCAAGGTTTTGATTATGTTTCATTTGGTAGCAAATAAACTACTGTTTGTTGAGACAGGCAGATTATATATAGAACAGTGTTTCATTGCAATGACTTCAATCAGCTTTGTGGATTCCAGTACAAACTTGTTTTTTCTTGCCCATTCAGCTCATGAGTTATAAAGAATCTGCCAGAATTTATGATTTTAGGATGAGTTGGTCAGTTTTTGTACTGATCTCTTTGTGTGGCATTCCTGTGGTTATGGTTTGGCTAAACCCTCTTCTTAGGTGTCTTTATGATAATATAAAACACAGTTGGTAGGAGACGGAACTTGAACCGCTGCCTCTAGTGTCAAAGCAGAGATGGAGTACTCGAGTCCTGGACTCGGACTCGAGTCGGACTCAAGTGCCAATTTTTGGGACTCGTGACTTGACTCAGACTCGCGCACTGATTGACGCGACTCGGACTTGGACTCGTGAATTCTCGCGCACGCTGACTTGGACTCGGACTCTTGAATTTTTCCCCCCACAATGACTTGTACATTGACGCTCCGACTTGGACTCGGACTCGAGCAAGTTTTCTCTGGAGTCTGATGTCCTCTATCCTGGCACGTGCACCTGTGAGGCGAGTTCACGTACTGGCCCCCGCTGTTCCAGTCCAAACATGTCTAGGACACACCCCGCATCATGCTGTATGCTTTCACACATTCTGCTTCCACATTGGAAAAGAGCAGCGCAAAATGCTTGTTATGTTGAAACAATATTGAAGAGAAGGCTCCGTAAAACATTACTCAAAGGATCGAGTTCAGACATATAGGCTGTCTTGAACACTATCATCAGAGTATCGTGATCTAATCAATAAATAAAGATTCAGCTGATAACACGAAAGCACATGGCTACTTAATATGCAGAATCAAGTCATTTTGCATGCTAAGTAGCCATGTGCTTTCTGGGGCTAAATCTTTATCAGTA